TGATCGCGGACGATAATGAATTTATCGGATGTGATATTTCGAAGAATTTTTTTTTTTAGACGACTGAACATTCTTCTTTCTTTTCTTTTTACGGGTAGATAAATGGAAGTGTTCTGGTTTGTTCAATGAACAGGAGATTTTTTATGTTTGTTACTTTCATATTGGAGATATTTTCCATGCTGATAATTTATTATACCGGCGAATAGAAATTTATTATCGATCGAAGTAAGAATTTTGGACGCTAAACAGAAAAATAAAGGATAAATTTCTGAAATTTATATTTATAATGAGACTTATTTTTCTGATGACTTTATTACTCAAGTGTCAAATCTTTTTAAATTGAAGCCAGAAAAATAGAGAATGAAATTGTAGCATCCCAAAACGCCGTAACTTCGATGCTTGGAAACGCTGACTCGCGGCAGGGCGAGTCTTATTTAGAGGAAAGAAGTCAACACGTTTTCGAACTAAACAATTAATGTATTTCTAGGCATGTTCCCAATAGAATGTGTGTCGAGGGTGAAAACCTCCGTGCTTTATAACACGGAGCCGTCCACATCCGACGTGGTGGTGGTAAGTGTGACGCGATACGGAAGATGTCGAGCGATCATCGCTTTTGGCAGCCCATGCGACACAGGACCCAACGCGAGTCCTCTCAAGCGACGAAACACTCGAGCGCTCTCGCCTCGGCAACCGCGATCCCGCTTCGGTTCCTCGGGGGATCCCTTTGTCGAAGGCCTTATCGCGACATTGCAGCACGGTTTCGCCGATGCCATGCGGCTCGGCTACGCACTCGTCCTGCCGATCCTGCGTCGCGGTGTTCGCCACCGAACAGAAATTTCTAAAATTTATTATTCCAGTGTCAAATCTCTCTAACTAAAGTAATTAAAATTTCTAGGAAAGAGGAAATAGCGGAAATAGAAGAGGAGGAGAGATGGCAAATGTGGTGTAAGCACAGCTTAAAAAGAATTTAACACAGGATAGTGTGGTATCCAAAAATGTATTATTCTATAGTCCTAAGCGACTGCTAAGTGTTCTGGTGTCCGTCTCGCTCGACGGCTATTTCCGGGGTGTCCTTCCCGCGTCGTATCCTGCGTTGCTCCGAAAAATCGTTTCAGCCCCCTCGTTCGACTTTCCCGGGAAAGGGTTTAGTTTACGGCACCCTCAGGTACCCGCGCGATTTTTCTTCCTGGGTGATAAAGTCCAGGCCACCACTTTGCCGCCGGAATCTCGCATTTCTTACAGTGGTTACAGTGGAAACGAAGAACTGGGACGCGAAACAGGATTAGAATTTCTAGATAGTTTATGTAAGGCGTTGTGCGACGCGCCTGGGCAACGACCGCGGAAGCCGCAGGGGGCCCTAGACAAGGAGCAGCGCAGGCTGCACCTACACCCCACGGCTTGCAGGGCCCTAACGGCCGAAGAAGCGTATAAAAACGGTTATTGTACCACACATTATCGTACCCAACCATCGACCAGCGAACCAACGTCATTTTAAAAATCAGTTATTCTAAGCCCTTGTAATTCTTTACTCTTACATTTACGTGTAGAAAAATTAGAAAATGAAAGTTTAAAGGGGAAACGAGAAAAGATGCTTATTACACAGGTGCGCGCGAAATTTTCTTCGTTACGACGTTAACAGAGGATTTCCGCGAAATGCTATACTTGCGAAATATCGTTCGAAATACAGGTTCGTCGTGTAAGGAAACAACAGAGAGGAAAAAGGCTCACCTCGTCCGGCAATGGTTTAATATCTTCGTCAAGGAGACGTGCAACCCGCGCAACGTCGCCACGTGCGGCCGCCTCGCGTAACTTTTCTGCCATTCCAGCCACGCATCTGCAAAAGAAGAGGAAATGGACGGTCATTAGCGGAATTCGTTTTAAGCTTGCTACTTTTCATGCAACCCGTACAGATTATTACGTCAGATATGCCAGTTTTTTTTCGGAAACGAGATCATCGAAACGACCAGCGATCCCAGTTTTTCGACCTTCCTTTTCAAATTATTTCTTTCGCCGTCAAGGTAATCACAATACATTGTAGTAACAGAAAGAAATCGTTTAAACCACTGATGAACAACTCACGACACACTTTAATCAGCCCAAGTGAACAATTTTTGCATTTCGCAGAATCTGTGAAATAATTTTCTATATTTTTCAACTGCGAGTGAATTTTTTTGTATTAAATATGCACATATGTGTATTATCTGTACTTTTTCACTTTTGATTACATATGCTTCAGTTGCTTAAAATTAAACAAAAATTTTCAGAATTTTTAATTTATATTCCTCTTTAAAAATGTAATGTGACTTTTATCCATAGAAAATGTAGGTATTCGTTGTTACTTGTGCTGAAAATAAAATACTCCAGCCTGGAAATAAGAAATTTTTAAATTAGAGATCTGAAAAAAATTTTCAATTTTTGGCTTCCAGAGAGACAGAATCGTTGCTTATTACTAATTTAAGCGATCAGATATCGATCTTCTTTGTTGAAGAATCGAAACGTTAAAACATTCGTACATATCACAAACATATCATAATTGAATCATTGGTTGATCATTAGTCAGTGATCTAAATTCAATTATCGTCGTGTTGCCGTCATAAAATACCTTTTCATTACGCCTGAAGTTTACAATCCGGCGTTCGAAAATGCAGAAAAATCGATCGGTTTTATCAGCGGACAAGATTCGTCGCCGGTGACTTGTAAACAGATAAAGCTGGGAATTCAAGTTTCCGCCGGATGTCAACCGGTTAAGTACCTTACGCGCATGCTACGCGATAGGGAAGGTAAGAAAGAGAAAAAAGGAGGGAAATTTCTGAGAATTCGAGACATTTAGAATTCGCACGATGTTTACGTATGCAAGATCGTTGCTTGCACTTTCTTTATGGTAATTAACACAACCGGAAATCAAGTCTGCGTCTGGGATCAATTTCGACAAATAAATATCACCAACGTGGGCATAAAATCGATTTAAATATCACTTCATAAAGAAACCAGTCGCGATAAACGTCAGAAATAATCCAGCTCGATCAAAATAAAACGTATTTCCAAGTCTAAACAAAATTCCTATACCATTTTCATCTATACAATTTCCTGAAATTGCGATCATCTTACGATTAAAACAATCAGGATAATTACTCACCCTGATAGCGACAACAATTTGTAAGGTAAGAAGCTGATCGGGATAAGACGATAAGAAAACAGGAAAACTTTCCAGTATCATCCAACTACACTCGGCGGCACTTAGAATTTCTAATAACCTATCTAACGTCCTCGAGAGATTCGAAGCTGTTCGATGGAAATTTAACCCTTTCGTGAACAATGAAACGCACGTGTCTCGCTTGAGTACTCGAATAAAAATTAATTTTAATTTAGTATCCGTTACAGACGCTATTATAGAGAAATACAAAATTCTTTAACCCTTTCGTTGCTATTCTTTGCTTCGTGCACTCTTACCTTAATTTAATATTTAATTTTATCCTTTACTTACTTCCACCTTAATTTAGTAAATAATAAATAATAATTTTGCAGCCGTGGTTGAAAATTCACCGTTTGCCATACACGTTGCGTGTTAAAATAACAGAGAAAGGGTTTAAAAAGTGATTTGGTCACGAAAGGGTTAAACCTAACCAGGGAGAAAAATGTAAATATGAAAATTATTAAAATTTACAAATTTCCAGGACATTCTTCGACTCTCTCTTCGACTTCCTAGAGTTAACGCCAAGTTGAAAATGGACTACCAATAAATAGTAGACGTGGAATAAGAAGAAGCAATAAACCTGTTACACCTAGCCGTTCGAGGCACGTCATCCTCGACACGGTCCGATGAAACTCAAGCCTCTGATTAAATTAATATTACACACGGAATCACATTCATAATCCACGCGCGGCCAGATCTTCGTTACAAGGGCGGAAAGGGCGTGACAACGAAGAAAAAGCCGCGTATCTCCTGCAAAAAGGACAATGATACACGGCGCCATTGTTTTCGGAGACAATGGACACGACGGTCTCTCTCTCTCCGTGAGTCGAAAAGAAAAAACTGCTCCGTGGATGATCCCTCCGTTTCTGTGAGTCACTCTCATGCCTACACGAATATTAAATGACCCTTACGGACGGATTCTAATTTCCTTCAACAAATTTTCCATGCACGTTATAGCGTCTAACTTTGGAACAATCTATCTTGTAGACTTACCACCGCTTTATAATGTAAAGGGCGTAGCCGTAGCAATGGCGATTCGAAATAGAAACAGAATGCAAAGAACGAAGATTCGTTTCGACGTCAAGAAAGTGCAAGGTCTGAAAAGTTTGTTAATTTGTAAATTTTCAAAAATTATATATCGTTGTTTCTTTAGCGAAGTTGAGAAACTAATTTTTGCTGGTCTGAGCTGAACGTGTGTTAAAATGATTTTACTCAGGCATACCCTAATTAAAAATTTCATATCAGGCTGGCATTGAAATTCACCAAGTTACATCTTGCAACTTCCTTTTTTATTCATAATAAACTTATTTGTTGATTAAGTTCATCGATCTATATATCAATCGAGAGCTCTTAATTTTATAATCATTTTGACACAGAAACTTCTATCTCAGTTTTGATATAATTTTGCCCCAAAAAAATGTTAAAGTCGCGAACTTAATCACCTAATAATACTAAAATACAGTCCTAGTAAAATATACTTAAAATGCATAAATTCTCTTGAATTTCTAGAATTAAAAAGACATTCGACTGCACAAAAATCGTGCACCGGTTCCCACAACCCGACACTGTAATCAACATGTTAAACTTGCGTCAACAAGCTTCTTGTTTCATCTTCCTCGCTGTCCGAGCTTTCAATGAAAGATACTTCGAAGTCACTGGAAGATGTGTGTAATCAACATGTTCTCTGTTCGTGCCAGCGTCACGTCTGCTGATAGCATGAGCGATGGGCATGTGTCTTCCTTATCACATCTCTCTCCTAATCTACCAGGAATCGGTGCCTCCGCCATTTAGAGATCCACGACCCACATCCTAAGCTACAATTCTCTCCGCTCTCGAAGCGTTCGAATTTATAATTCGCTGGGCTGTTATCTCGTTAAAGTAAAAGAGGCAGAAGAAGAAGAAAACGGCATCACGAGAAATTAATACGCAGCTAAGTGCACTTTCTCGATGGTTTTTCTTCAATAAGGGCGTGCACCGAGATGGCGAACGGCCGTTTATTACGTCCTTTCGAGGAATAAGGTGGAAAGAATGAAGAAATGTGAAGCAGAGATCGAGCTAACTGTTCGACTGGTGCAACGGATAACGCGCGGTTTTTCCCTCCACCTCACAGCTTGATTTTCCTGCCGTTAATTAATCATTTAGCGAACCACCAAATTACGCAATATTCGGTTTCGATGCGTAAAAATGGGAGTATCGTTAACTGGTCAGGAAGCGATTAGATCGCGTTGAAAGCGGCGCAAGGACGATGATTATTTAGTATTCTGCTGGTGTAACGAAAATTGAGAGCACGTTTATCTATTCTAGGCTTCGTTAACGACGTAAATGATCTCTGTAGAATTAACGACGACACGGGCATAGGCGTCTTTCAGAAGTTTAATTAGCCCCGCGAGAACTGGTGCTAATAACTTCCAACTTATAGGGGATATAAGACGTGCGGTGATTGAGAAGTGTTGAAACTTGATGTCGAGAACCTCGTTAAGGAGGGAGTCGATATTAAGACTGCAAGTTGAACGACACCGGGATCGATGAAATTTACGTTTTATTGCTCTCTGATTACGAGATCGAAATTAGATTATCCTGAGGCGGTGGTAGCGTAATTTCAACGAGTTTAGAATCGTAGAGGACCCTGAAGAATTGAGGACTTTAAAATCTTACATTTTGGAATTTCCGAAATTCTCAGAAAATTCGAAATCTTCAAATCGGTGGAAATTTAGCAATCTTCGGATCTTGGTACTTCGGCGGTTTCCTAAGAGCCCACAATCTCACGGATTTAAAGATCTAAGCGCGTTTGAGGTCCTCGAGACCTCAAATCTTCGAACTTTTGGAAAGATCAGAGCTCTGAGGACCTTACATAGAGATTACAGAATTCCTGAAGGCTCCTAAACCTCGGAAACTTCGAAACGCATAGAGTTCTCAGAGGATCTCAGACCTTTCAGACCCTAAAAATCTCAGAATCTTTAGACCTTAAGAACACTACAGTCCTCAGAATCTCTGGAGACATCAAGATCTTAGAAACCACCAAGTGCCTGGAATCCCCGGAAATTCTAAGACTCTAGAGTCTCATATGAACACCTAACCTCAAAGATTCTAGAGACTCCCGAATCCCTAGAATCCCTAAGATCTCAGAAACTTCAAAACTCCCCCAAAATTAGAAAATCTTAACAACCCTGAAGATCTGTATTTCCAAAACACTTGGACACTCTAGAAGTCCAACTCGAGTGATTAATTCCATTTTGGAATACAGTATACCAACATATTTCATCCTCTCATTTCACCATGAATTTATCGTATCGAAATTTCCAAACATCGTCCAGCGTAAATTAAAACGGAACGTTCTATAGACACACAGGCGCACGGTTGCAGGCAGGTGCATCGATACAACGTGAAATTTTCAACCAGGCGACATTGATTAATGGACTCTCGCCGTCTCTCCTTCAGTGACCCTCGCCGCGCTAAATGAATGTCTACTAGTCAAAGAGCGATTTTACTCAGCGATCGTACTGTACAACTGTTCCGTCTTAAAACCGAAGTGAATTAAAACGCGCGAATACCAGCGTCGTTCAAATTGTCACGCATTCGTCGCGTAATTAAATTTCTTGTACGCAATTTATACAAACCGTACCTCCGCCAGATATTGACGATCGATCAATCACACCTCGTTAAAACACACCTTGAGCAATCGATCTGATAATCCTCGTGAAATCAAACACCACCGTTCCAAGCAATCGTATTTAATGAATTATCAATTCTAGCCGAAGAATTGCGAAAGAAAAGGAAAACGAACAACTCGAGGTCGTTGAAAATAATTGAAAGTTTCTCAATTATGAAATTGTTGATCAAGTTTAGACATCTGTATTACACACGAATAACTCGACCTAACCGTTGTATAATTTACATTCCCGTATAATTAAGAGGTCCGACGTGAACTTTTGCAATGGCACGGGTGTACCTGGTATTAATTTTGAGGAACTCAAAGGAAATTCCATTTAACCGCGAAACTGCTCGGTTGAAAGTTGCATTTCTTTTTTCTTCTTTCTTCGCCTTTCGATCGAGTATAAATCAGGCGACTTGACCAACCAACGAGTCAAGCTCAAGGGGATATCCGGCTGATCCGGCGGCGATTTAATTATCGCGCATCCATCCTTCGTCATCGCGATCAATAAAGGAGGAACGTCTTTCACCGAAGCAATCACCGTATTCAACAACGCAGCTTAATAACTTGAGAAGAAAAAAGAACCATGTTTAATATATGGCACGAGTTTTCGAGCTGGTACCGTCGTCAGCTTACCCGAAATATAATCGAAAATCGATCACTCGTTATTTATAATCGTTTACTCCTGTTTCAATGAAAACTTTCACAAAATAAATTCCGAGTATACTTAACTGTTGCGAAGAACTCTGTGAAATTTGGAAAACATTTAACCCTTTGAGCACTACGAACGCGCGTTTACGTAATTTACGTCTACTTTCAATATTTCGATACGTTAGTACTAATCTCATTTTTAAAAAAAGGTGCAAATATGCAAAAATAAGAAATTACTAAAATTGAAACTCAAAGATACTAATATGTAAAAACTTCAGTGGTCAAAGGATTAAAGATCGTTTTATATTGAGAAATAACGAAATCTTCATAAACTTAGTGAAATTTTCGACTAATTAAAGGAAATACGATTTATCCTAAATATAACTGCAGAGTCAAGTTTCAAAGCTACTCCAACACCTTCCGACTATTTATTCAAACCACGAGCCAATCGCTACTTTTTTCCAAAATTCAATCTAGGATCGGTAACTCAATTTCCATTTTGCATTACCTAACCACGCAAAATTGGTACTAAATTGTAAGGTATTTGGTGTTGATCAAAATGTATCGAGTCTAATGGAACCCGATCTGGACAAGGTTGAAGTATCTATCGAACATCGATTTGACATTAATCCCAAAGCGGAATTAAGTCGACTCGCGCGATGACATAGTTAGTATACACAAATGGCTGCGCTATCACGCGATCTGATCAGGTTATCGCTTCATCTTGATCGGAAAAGCGACGGGAATATCGGGCAGCAGTCACGATCCTAAGTCAAGGATGCCAGGCAGCAAGGTAGCTCGTCCAAAGCAACCTCATAAAGCATCTTTTTTTTTCCAATTACGCGTACGAAGGCTTTAATTACAGTGCATCTTGCCTTGCTTTACAGAACATTCCCTTCTGTCCACTCTTCGAACCTCCTTTACATCATTTTTCTTCTCCTTTCCCATTTTATCAACGTCCGCTTTCGTCCTTCTCGGTCCCAGCGGAATTAACAAAATTCCCGACTAGGATAAATATCTGACGAGGAGTCGCGAGGGAAAATGTCTGTTCGTAATGCCCGCATTAATGAAAGGATTATCGATACGACGACGTCCTTCGTATAATTTTCAGAAGCATCGACGATTTCGGCTCGATCGACGCTCGTTTATCAGAAGATGTTTGTTTTAACTGGACGTAAATTAGCGGGCCGCGTAATTACGCGGCTGCTTAAGGTACGATTAAGAATAAACGACAAGATGTTATTGATCACTGAAACTTTGTACCGAGCTCGGGTTGAAGAGAGGAAAGAATTGCAAATGTAGGACGACGAGAGAAAATTTCTCGCGAACGTATTTTACGTGAATTTAACCGACGAAGTTGCCTTCGAATTTCCATATTTTTCAAACAAGGTCGAATATAAAATTTGTCTATATTTCTCTTGGAGATTTCGACGCTTCTTCGTCTCAAATGGTGTATTTCTCCGAGAATGAAATTACGCACGAGTAGAACGGATTTCCAGGTAACAATATCAATAGGTGAAATGAGAAAATTCCGTTAAAGGAGGAAAGGTAACAAAATTTAATTGCACCGGGTTTCGGTACGATAAATATTCAATCAACAGGCTTCGCGACGAAGCGAGGAATAGCGGAAAAGGCGACGGTTTGCCTGCGATCGAATAGCAAGAAGCCTTGAATCACGAGCGCAAACGATCGACCAATGTACCCGTAATCAGAGGCAGTTGCTCGAAAGACAGGATCGTAAAGCATGCTTTCTTGGCTCGCTTGTCTTTGGGTAATAATTACACGGAGGAACGGTCGTGGATCGCACAGAAAATTATCGTCCCCGTACCAACCACGCGGCACCTGTTGTGTATCGATGAAAGTTGCAAAGGGTCTAATTTCAAATGTTCACCGGTCGCATGTTATTTGCATGTAGGCGCGGAGATTAATCGATCCTAGAACTGGACTGTGACGAAAATCACCGGGTGTTTCGGAACGTGACAAAAAATAATCGATTACCTATGGAAATGGTACTCTAACTGTATTGGAGGACGAAAGGTGCATTCGATGAATATCGATTGAATTATTTCAGAAAAAAAAAGAACAGTATTTCAAGTATAGTCGAAGCTAAATGGTGGATTCGAACCTTTTACGAGTACCTTACTAAACAGAAATTCTATGTTCCTCCAAAGTTGCAAGATTCTCATTTCCACGATTCGAGATTCGATACTGTTGGATTATTTCTAACATGTAGGCATTTTGGGACGGTTTATGGCTTGGCCTGCGCCTCTTGGCGAGTGACAAACACCAGACCCGAGTACCCATCGGTTCGGCCCAGCAATATCTTTGCCATTCGATGGGAGTCGGTTCTTAGCTTCGGTAATAGACGGACGCCGAAGAGTCCGAAATAAACTACTTTGCACGACATCCTGATTTGAGTAAAGTTCATTAGACCACCTCCTACAAACAACACCCTATGGAAATAATCAAGTGAGGACAAAAATGTCTCCGCGTTATTTTAAACAAAGGCACTAAGACTTCCACCAGATGTGTCTGGTGTACCTGCTGGTATACTCATTTTAGGATTCGAAACCAGTTTGCATAGACTAAATACATTGCAAATACAATCGCTAAAATTCTGAGTAACATTCGATACGATCAGAGCGCTACTCTTCCGAGTAGGACACGTTGCAAGTATAATCACTGAAAGGCAAGAGTACTCTTCTAAGTAGCATTGGATATAATCCGAATGCTACTCTTCTGAGGAAACCCCTTGAAACGAAACTTGAATACCGAAATTCGCTTTGATTCGTAACTATTTATAATACATACTGAACTTGAGACTACTCCCAGTGACGTATTACACATATATACGCATAGCCGATTTCTCTTCTCGGTTACCAGGCAAGCGGAATTCTTAATTGCAGCGAACTTACATCACGTACGCACGGGAGATCCCTCCTTCCGCGTGTCCGTACATATCCAACAGGACTTCGGCCCTGGTTCGAGGCATCTCTGACCCTGTTTCCACCGTGGTACACGTACTCTCGCGTAAGATTGTCAGTTCCCTTGGTCGTGTACCTCCCGATTAAAATGCATTATACATAGTCGAATGTAAGTATATCGCGGAATGCGAGCTTGTTTCTCTCGGATAAGTCGTAAAACGATCCCCACGGTCCGACATAATAAATTGAAATCGTATCAACGACCGTGGCAAATTATGATTTAGATAATGCTACCCCTCGTTGTCCAGCGTGCACCGGTGTCTGGTAATTAATTCGCCAAACGGCCGAATAAAGCAAAGAAACACCCGTTTCACCTGCAAACCAGCCACAGGTCCGCTCTGATACCCGGTGTCGCAATAAAGAAAACGAAATATCGGATATTTACCATGCGGGACGTTCGATTTATCTTAGCACCGCTTTATGTCCACCGCGAAACGGCGAAATTCAGTGGCAATTACTTTTAAAGAGGGAGACTTTAACGAGGCAAGTTGAACCTGGCGATATTCTGCCGCGCTCCGCGTGCCGCTACGAGTTAATACTAATGTGGCGCTAGCTGTTTCATAAACGATTAAATTCATTTCGAGTGTTGCGTTTAAATGCCTACTTGTGAAGAATAATTGTACACGCGTGGAAGTGAGATTGGTGATTAATAAAACTGAATAAAAATTTACTGTAAATAAATAACAAAAATTATGTTATTCTTAATTAGAACTTAATTAGACTTTCTCTAATAAAAATAATCTACAATCCTAAATTCTCAAGTTTTCACATTTACTCCGCCATATTGCACGTATTATGGGACACTGTATAACAAAAGTCCCTAGACTCAAATTGTACAAATGTTCAATTCACCTTCTCGCATTACTTTAAAAAATTTTTAATACTTTACAAAATTCGATTTACGTTAAACAAACCTACTAAAGTACAAGGTATCGTTATTTCCTTTCTACCGTCTTTCAGTCCACCACAATAAACTATTAAACTGAGATTCCACGTACTCCTGTTACATACTGTAAAAGCCGGCGTTTTCAATCATTTTTCCGGCGACTACAAGGCGCATCCGCGTATCGCTAATTACCGATTAACCGGAATCGGCGTTGATTAAGGACTGGCATCGGCATTCGTCCGCTGAACGCGTTTCTCGTTGTCTCCGAGCGAAGGCGGCAATGAGAAATCTTTTAATTAGAGATCTCGCGAGATAAGAATGTCGGTTCCACTGTCGCGTTATCCGTTTCCCCGCGACAGAAACTCGGATGGGGAGCATTCCTTCCGTGATCAAGGGACCAAAAGGGGAGGGAGGAGTGGGACTGGCCGGTGGTAAAAACCGCGGGAACAAAGCGTTCAATTAAACGTTCATCCCAGTCGAGCAGGCTCCAACTGAGAAGTCAACCTGACGCCAATTCTCGACGAGATGACCCGCGATTCGCGGCAAGAAACACGCGAGCTACTTCAAACCTGCTTCGACCGCGATTTTTGAATGGTTCGAATTGCTCGTCAGATTGAATTCTGTGCAACAAACTTGTTCCAACGTTCCACCTGTAGATTCGTAAAAGCTATCGGATTTATTTTCTTTATTCTAGGCTATAAATCGGATAATTATCGATCAACTAGCAACTTCGATACATTTTTGTAGCGAATCTTCTCGAGACCGAAAGTTTCGTTTTGAAAAGGAAATACCATAAATTGTATTTCTTTTGTTGATTCGCTTAATATAAAAATGTTTGAATTTTACATCTGAAAGTTCTCCATGGTAATTATCATTCCAGCATATTTTGCTTACAATAAATTATTGCACGATCTTAAACTTTGTTCCTCTTCGAATACTTCAGGTGAATAATTACGGAAGTTTCTTGGATCTCATAAATATTGCAAATACGCGAATTTGCAAGTTTGTTAAAGGCAATATTAATTACATTCCGAAAGATTAAGAAAGAAACAGAAGAAGAAGAAAATAAATGAAATATTGGAGGAAATTAATCTTTTCCAAGGCAGGATCGTGGTCTGTGCAACAAAAACCAAAACAGCCATAAAACGTGATACTCCAAGGCTATGTATATATATTTTTCTGTCTTACAAAACGATACCGGGAAACGAAAAAGGCGCGGTGATAAAAAGTGTGATAAATCTTCCAGAAATAGCAAAGATCCGTACGGGAAAAAATTGATCTATTTAAAACGTTCACGACAGTCTCGATGTAATTTCGATTGTTCTACTCTCAAGGTTGCCGACGTGTTCGCAAACCGGTTCTCCTCGCTCCACCCGTAAGAAAAGGGCTATCACTTCGCTATTGTAACCAAAAGGAGCAACACACCGCGGAGACGCGCCGGATATAATCGCAATATTTATTTACGACGTCGTTCGATATCGTTAAACACGTTTCGGGGAATTCAACTTGAAAATATTCGACACCGCATGAATAAAATACACGCGAATTTCGAGTTAACCAACAAAACTAACCTAACCTATAACAGAAAATCAAATCTAATTCTTGATCGAACGTAAAAATATTCAAATTCTATTCTCCTCGAAAAATAGAGTCCGGTATGATAATTTTATTATAAATATTAAGAGAGCTAACCTCAAAAAATAATTGCGCGCCTAACGCTACCTCTGTATTAAACCGCGAATTTTTGAATCTGCCCTCGTGCATACTGTTGTTACATAATTATTCTTATAATTATGATAATTGTCCCTCTTTTTGAGTCAGACCATTTAAGGAATCTACTCGGGTTAGGGGACTCAGGTGGTGCTCGGAAGATAGATTATTAACGTACAACAGTTTGCTGTTAAAACTATATATTTGTGAATGAACGTTGTGCAGAGCGCGAAATGTCTAGGCTTGCTGATAGGAAAATTGTGTGTCGTGTCGTGTGGTGTTCGCTATTTTATAAACTACGTGTGTGTTGTGATTGGTGGTGTGAAAACTGTCGTAGGTGGTGGAAGTGTGTGGTGATTGGTTGTTTCGGTGTGTTTGGGGTGTGTCTGGTGTGAAAGTGGGGAATTTGTTCTTACATTTGTTATATTGCTTGTCTGAAAATTGCTGATGTCGAATGTCTGTTTTATTGCTTAGGGTATGTGGTGTCCAGGTGTGAGAGTCGTCGAATTTTCGGTGTAATAAAGTAATTTGTCTATGCCGGCTAAAACCTCGCTTTTTAGAAGGTGCTGTCTATTGAAAATAGCGATGTTATCGTTCGGCTCGTCGGTACTGCAGAACAACCCAAGCGGCGTCTGTTACGCATGTGACACAGTATACAACAAAAGTTCCCAGATTCAGATTCCATAATTTAAAAAAATTTTAAACGTTTCATAAGTATGACTTACTTTTAAAAATATATCTCAAGTTGTATATCTGAGAACGGCAATAATTCAGAGGGTAAATCATCGAACCAAGAGCCTAGGGAATTTTGTCACACACGGTGGTTCCAAACTTTTGACAAACACACTGTAATTTGCCTAACGGTGGCCGTTATCGCGGAAAGGTAGTAAAGATGAAGAAACGAACGGACGCGTTTTTACGCGATCGGACAGCTGTGCGTAATTTATTTGCCTTAAACGACGACATGACAAAAAAGTCCGTGACGGAATTTCAAGCGAGGGAAAGCAGCGATGTTCGTCCGTGGCCGACGAACCGAACATAGGATACGCCTAACGACGTTTTACCGAGAACCGGTGTCCCGCTCTAATGAGGTATTCAGTCAAAACCGATCCACGAGCCCAGATACTGGTTGGCATTTCAAATGCGCTGTTCCCGGTACTATTTGTAACATATTTGCATAGAGGCTACATGCATCGCCATCTCGTTTCTTTCCGCGTATCGACGCCTGGCCCACTGCCGATCATTTCGATCGGCATGAGGCTGCTCCGACCTCTCGTAAACTTAGTATTCGAAGGAGAGAATCTAACTTTATCAATGGAACAACTCTGTCTTTCCCCTTCCTTGTAAATGTAAAGGTGCAGTTTACATGGAAGAATTCTACTGTTCTATTTCTCCTTAAGCTTACTAGGAATATTAGTACAGAGAATGGGTAGTATACGAATCTACGAATATGCAAAATTTTTTAAAATCGATTGATAATTTTATGAATTTTTTGAGTTAATTCTTTTAGTTCTTTACGAAGGTGCATATATATTTTGAATTTGGCGCCAAAGTAGTAATGCTATTAATTTACGTCTGCTCTTGGTATTTTAAGATATTGCTATTACCACTTGGAATCTGACTTATAGAAAAGATATAATATGCAAAAAAATGATTACTACTCGACTTCGCCATAAATCCAAACTTTCGAATTCTTTTAAAAAATAAATTCCATAACATACGTATCTTATCTTATTAATTTGTATTTCGTCATTATCATTTGCATATAATTTTCATATTAAAAACCTCGCACATTTAACGTGTAATGTCCATGTAGGCTAACAAGTCGAGGTTGCTAGTCGACTATCGCGCAGAAACGTCGGAGCGAAAAGGGTTACTTCAATGAGAGATACAGGTGCGTGATACCGTGAGGGAAATTTATGATCCGGTTGTCTCAGAGACGCTGGACCGCTGAATATTCATAGAAACGTTGAATTCTTTGTGTCTCCTCTCGAATTTTTCTAATACTTTCAACACTTTCGTTTAATACCGTTGTATAAGTTGGCACGTTGTTACTGAAACGATTTTTAGTCGTTGACAATGTTGAATCTGGAAATCTTGGTTCAATAGGTTAGAATTTACTCAATCGATAAGTGAATTAGTCAGCACTTAGCAATTACGATGTATTCGGTCGGTAATGAAGGTTATTACATGTCTCGCGTTATAATACCTCCCTGAAGTACTTCAAATCGTCATCATGTCGAACATCACGTCATTTTTAATTGGCTTTTACAGCGTCGAAATCAAACGCAGAGATAATTTACAATAAAACGATACGTGTCGAATGAAACCTTGAGAATACCCTTCTTATAAAGCAAGTCTACCAGGAATAAAATGTTTTATGCGTTTATAAATGATCGACGAAAAATGAGA